CAGTACATTAGTTAATGATCTTCTTGAAATATTGCCAAATCAAGGTTTGGAGCTTCCCAAAGATTCAAGAAGAATTTTAAAAGCACCTTATAAAAAGTGACTTAAAGACAGGTTCTTGCTAATTTATATATATTTTTAAACATTTAATTACTTGAGAATCGTATTAAAATTGATACATATATTGAAATTGATACAGATATTAAAATAAATAGTTAAAAACTGGGTATATGATATACTATATATATATATATATATAATATATATATATATATATATATATATATATATATATATATATATATATATATATATATATATATATATATATATATATATATATATCAAGTATATACTTGACACTTGATATAGAATTTCAAGTATAATAATTGATATACTATATCAAGAACCAAGTTCTGACTGTTTGAAAGACTTAGACATCGCAGAATCTCATGTATAGTCATATTTTTCAAAAGGAAAACCTATTAATAATACAGAGAGTTTATGGTGATAATTCAATATAATTCAATATCTTTAATTAACAACTTTTATATTGTTCTATTCAAAATAATTGGACCATTACATTAGTTAATGAACTTTTTGAAATATTACAATATCAAGTTTTGGAGCTTTGCTAATAACCAATTACTTAACTTTAGTAATTAGTTATTAGTGAAGTTCAAAAGTTTTGACTAAAAAATAAGTCTAATTAAAAAAATTAAACCAGTCATAACAGTTATATAAGAGACAGGAGGGTAGAAAATTTCCTTTACTCTAAAGGAAATTTTCTACACACCTGTCTCTTATATAACTGTATTAACATATGAATAACCACTATATCACATGTTGGAATGTTATTGGCAATTTACTAAGTAACCGAGAAACACTCCTTAATTTCTCGTTTTTTTTTATCATCTAGGAAATTTTATTAAAGTAAATGGATTATACTTATTATTAAAGAAATTATATAGTCCTTTGATTGATTGCAAACCTATATTTCTATTGTATATATATATATATATATATATATATATATATATATATATATATATATATATATATATATATATATATATATATATATATATATATATATATATATATATATATATATACATATATATATGTATACACACAACCCTTGGAATAAAGAAAAAAAAGGTTGACAATAATTTGTCGACATCAATCAAAAAAGTGATTCAAAAGTCTTACCATTAAACATAGAAACAAGGTCAGCATTATTTGTTGACCTCAAACACTTTTAGGTTGGCATTGCTGCATGCCGACCCAAATTCCAAAGGTTATGTATATGTATAAATATATATATATATATATATATATATATATATATATATATATATATATATATATATATATATATATATATATATATATATATATGTGTGTGTGTGTGTGTGTGTGTATAAAAGTAATATGGTAATTTATAATAATTTATCTGTTTTTATTTTAAATTTATTGAAAAAAATAAGATTCTGTTTTCAATGTAGTTATTTTCTCCTTAATTCTGCTATTTTTTCTTTCAAAAAATTGACTTTCGTGACCAAATCTTTTTAAATAATAGAAAAATGTCTCCTTAAAATCCTGACTTATAGCGTCAGTTTTATTAGTAAAAATACAAAATATATGTCAAATAAAATAAAAATGAGTTTTGCTAAAATTTAAAATTATTAGAATTAGTTAAAATTTAGAACTATTAGTTATTATTAGTTAAAATTAGTAGAATTTGTAGTATTAGTTAAAGTTTAGAAATAGATAGTGTGAAACATCAATTAGATACAATATAAAGTTGAACAGAAAAATAAAAAAATAAAACTAAAAAAAAAATGCTAATGCTAAAAAAAAAAACACTTGTAAGAATATTTTTTACTTTATCCATAAGTTTTATTTACTTGTTAATTAAGATTTTATTTTTAGGAGCGTCAACTACATCAAGTGTCAGTTGATATATATGTTTCGGTCAAATACATGTTTGTATTTGGTAATAATATGTTACATTTTTGTTTTGTATTTCAAAAACTCATATTGCATTTATTTAAATATGCATTTAGGAATCTAGAATTGATGTGTTTGTAGTTTTTGTATCTAATTTTGTTAGAAATTTTATTTGATTAAATGTATTTAACTCTAAAGTTCATTTTTATTTTTGCCTTCGGTTTTAAAAAAATAGAACAAGGTTTTGGCTATAGTTCATTTTATGTAATGGTTAATGTAATATAATTTATTTTGTGTAATATGCCTAATGAATTTTTATTAGTAAAAACTTCTTTAATTCATTCAGCTCCTCCAAAATTTGAAAGTCTGTGATTCAAAATTTCGCTTTTCCCAAAACAAAGTTAAAGAAAATATATGAAGTCAATGATAAATCTTAAAGTTTTACAAAGAGTAATGTAAGTAATATTTTTTCTTCTAATAACTATCTTGGAAGTTATTTTAACTATTTAGGCCTTTTATCTTTATAAATTAATTTTTTTAATACTTCTCAATACTCAAAATAGGTACCTAGTCAATTCAGCAAGAAAAAAAGAACATTTAAGAATTTCCTTTCAAAAGATGTAGCTAGTAAAATTTTAAGTTAGTTATATATATATATATATATATATATATATATATATATATATATATATATATATATATATCTTCTTCATATCCTGTAACCTCAGGGGTTCTTCAATGTTCAATCCTTGGCCCTATACTCTTTTTAATTTACATTAACTCTCTTGCAGATATTATCACATCTAAGGTGGCATTGTTCGCTCACGACACTACTATTTATTCTTGTCATGATAAGAAGCCTACACTCTCTGATTGCTTGGAGGGGGTATCTGAGCTTGAAAAGGATCTCACCTCTGCTACAGCATGTGGCTCACAATGGCTGGTGAACTTTATTTCAGATAAAACTCATTTTTTTTCGGCCAATCGTTATCGCAATAATTTTGATCTTCCTATATTTATGAATGGTAATGTACTAGATGAGTCATATGCCCTTCACCTTCTATGATTACCTTTTACTTCTGATCTTTCTTTTAAACCGTATATTAAATCCATTGCAAAATTAGCATCTGCAAAGGTTGCATCTCTTTATCGAGCTCAACACTTCCTTACTCTAGATTCTATTCTCTATCTCTATAAATCTCAAATCCGTCCCTGTATGGAATACTGTTGCCATATCTTGGGCAGATCTTCTATTGATGCCCTTTCTCTTTTAAACAAGGTGCAAAAGCGCATTGTAAACATAGTTGGACCTGCTTATGCAGCCAATCTCCAACCATTGTCACATCGTCGTGATGTTGCTTCTTTTTCTCTTTTCTACAAATACTATAATTGGCACTGCTCTAAAGCTAGTTTTTTTTCTTCGAACATCAGTTCTTTGGAATTTGCTTCCTTCATCTTGCTTCCCTGATTCATATAATTTGCAATCTTTTGAGTCATCTGTCAATCGTTATCTTGCCCTACAAACTTAATCTTTTCTCTTCCAATAACTTCCAAACTCTTATAGTGGTTGTTCGCAGCCTTGTTGGAAGCGAAGATGTAATATATATTTTTTCTATTAAAATTTATATATATATATATAAATTATAATATATAGGCTTTCATTCATTTACTTACTTATCTTAAGATAATGAAATATAAAAAACGTTTAAAGTTGAGAATAGCTTTGATCTTTACTAGTATGATTCTATCGCTAAGTCTCTTGAATGTGATCAATCATTTCTCGATACTAATGTTGCAAAAAGTAGTACATTTTTTATTATGGTTAAATGTTTAGTTTTTTTTTATAAGGGTAAATTACATAAAAAATTTTGATCTGTAATTATATACATAATGCTCACTTTACAAGTAAACATAATTTACACAAAATTTTTGAATTGAATAAAACACTAAGGAATTGCTCCTATGCCCAATATAACTTACACTAAATTGTCCCATATCAATTACACTAGTGTTATCTTTTGAATTTAGAAATAGAAGTTTTTAAATGTTGGTGGCTCATCATGCAATGCATTTGAGAAGGGCATGCTTTCAAAGTAAGTATAATTTTACTATAAAAAGAGCATTTTTAATACCGCAATTATATTGCATACTTGACATACATAAATATATACGCTAGTCACAACAATCCAGTTAAAAATTTCTTTGAAAAAATAAATTTAGTGTTGAGAAATTCGTATTTTTTGATGTTTGATGTTATGTTTATAAAATAATAAATATATATGTGTGTGTGTGTTATTTGTTTCTTTCCCCTTTATTTTTACATTCTTATCTTAACAATATTTTTTTAAGGTTAAGATTGCTTTCCTGATTCCTACAGCAAAAAAAAAACTTTAAAATGCTGGTAGCAATATTTTAAAGAGTGCATCTGATCGAAAAGAAAGTGAATGGCGTCAACTGTTCGAAAATTCGATTTTTGGAAATTAACAAGTGGAAGAAGAAGTTTACAAAGTTGTAATTTATAAAACTCAGCACAATTATATTATTAAAAAATTTAAATGATTTATTATTTTTTTCTTATTCTCAAGAAGTTCTGTAAAAACATAAATTTGAACCTTACGTTTAAGTAAACCCATGTTAGAACACGTATTTTAGACGTCGAAATAAGAACGTCTAAATTAGGTTATTTAAAGACGTCATTCGGCGTTTCCATTTAGCACTAGTTCTGAACGTCCTAGATTCACGTCTTTTAGACGTCTCAAAACACGTCTTTAGTCCGTCCTAAAAAGACGTCCTAATTACGTCTTAAAAAGACGTCATCTGGCGTTGCCATTTAGAACCAGTTCTGGACGTCCTAAAAAGACGTCCTTTCGACGTCATATGGACGTTTCCGTGCCCGCTGGGATATATATATATATATATAATGTTTAAAACGGAACTAATATTATTTTAAGTAAGTTTTAATTTTATTCTATTTTAAGTAAGCATAGTATTCATTTTGGAGCTAAAGACTTTTTTATTTATTTCAACATTTAAGTATTATTATTTTTTAGTCAAGTAAAAATGTTAGTAAGGTCATATTTGCGAGAAACAATAGATGGAATCGTCTATAAAAGCATTGAAAGTGAATCAGAAATGATCGAAGTGATTAACATGTTTTTTGGAGAATTCACTGAAGGTATGTTTATTTTTTGTTAGTTTTGTTTTTTGTTTCAACTTTTGTGTTTCTAAAATTTAGAGAGATTTTTTAAATGCTACCCGACACCGCATACATTTTTTTCCAGATTTTTTAGATTTTCCATTAATTTATTAAGGTTGAAGATCTCATACAACAAACCATTTATGTGCTTTAAATCCTCGGGTTGTATGCAATATATTATCTTAGAAAAACTAAAAATAGACGCATTTATTTTAATTTACACTATAAAATTACGTTAAATTCTGTTTGTTTCTTTAAATATACTAACTCAGCTAGCACACTTATAGTGGGCCAACGTATGTAAAACAATCGCGAACGTCAGCTCTTTTTTCCAATGCAAAACCAACGTTGATCCAATGTCATTTGGTTGATGATAAAATTATTACCGACGGAACTAAAAACATCTGGAAAATTTACATTGGTCCAATGTATGTAAAAACATCGCAAAAAGTTGATTGTTTTGATGATCTAAACCCAACGTTGATCCAATGTATATATTTCGACGTTGATTCAATGTATATAAATCAACGTTGATACAATGTATGTTAATACATCGCAAAAAGTTGATTGTTTTTATGAACTAAACCCAACGTTGATCCAATGTATGCGACCAAACAATGCTATATATATATATACATTATTGTGAAAAAGTTAAGAACCACTAAATAAAAAAAAATATTTTTTTCAAATAAAATTAATTAATTTTTATTCTAAAGATAATAAAATAATCTTTTTTTTTCCAAACATATTAAAAAGAACACGAGAAAAAATTCTTTTTTTTGAAAATTAAATAATAGAACCTGTAAAAATAAGGATTAAATATTATGTATTAAATTTTTTCAATTTTTTTTTGTGAAAAAGTTAAGAACCACAAAGAATTTTTTGCACTTAATGCGGTCAAAACGAATTTTTTTAATTCATTTTACCTTTTTATTTAAATATTCTATTAATGACCCGAGTCATAACTAAAAAATTAAAAGTATTAAAAAAAAGTTTAAAAAAAAAAATTTCAAACAAAAATTCTTTTCTTTTGAAAAAATGAGCAGTAAAGCTATTACCTATGAAGATAGTGTAAAAGTAGTGCATTTTCACCAGGAAGATAAAACCGTTCGTGAAATTGGAAAAATCATAAAACGATCACATAGTTCGGTGCTAACCATCATCAAAAGATTCAGAGAGACAAAATCTTACGTTGATTGCCTTCATTCTGGAAGACCGCGTTTGACGACACCCAATGAGGATTGTCTTTTAATCAGGTTGGCAAAGAAAAATCGAAATATGTCGTCGCATGAATTAAGAAGCGAATGGAAGCTTTTAAATGGACGTCAAGCATCGGCATCACTTGTGCGTAGGAAACTAATAGCTAACAATATGCTATGGTAAAAAACTATTCTGAAATTGCGACTTACCAAACAACAAATAAAAAAGCGAAAAGAATTTTGCAAAAGTGTCAAAGAATGGTCTAAATTAAAATAGAGAACAGTAATGTTCAGTGATGAGATGAATATCGAGGTTGATAACAGAAAAAACCAAATTTGCAGGCAGCCTTCAGAAAAATATAATCTCAATTGTATCGTTCAAAGAACAAAACAATGTACCGGGTCGGTTGGAATATGGTGCTGCATGAATATTATGGTCTCGGTATGTTTAAATTATTTGATGGTCGACTCAACTCTATTTATTACGTTGATGGTAACAAGTTGTTATTTTAAATAACACCTTGTTACCATCAATTGATGCACTTCAGCAAAGCGTTCCGTTCATTTTTCAGCAAGACAATGCACCATGTCACAGGGCTAAAATTGTCTCTGAATGGTTCGAAAGCAAAATTATTGAGCGTCTAACTTAGCCACCAAATAGCCTAGATCTAAACTGCATTGAAAATCTTTGGAGTTGGCTTGATAAAGAGATTGCCAAGAAAGCACCAAGGAGCCTTGAGGAGTTGCGCAATATTTTACCAACCATACTTGGAAATATTCCCCAACACATTTTAGAGAATTTAATAGACTCAATGCCAAATCGTATAAATGAGTGCTTAAAAATTCATGGTAGAATTACGCGGTATTAGGTAAAAATTACCGTTTCTTGTTCTGTGGTTAGTAACTTTTCACAATTTTTTTAAAATAAAAGTTACCTACAAAACTTTAAATACATCTTTTTTGTTTGTTTAAAAGTCTTTGGCATTATTATTATTTTTTATTTTACGCCTACAACAACATAACCAAAAAATGCTTGTTATGCTTATACCAAAAACTAATTATTTTATTGTATAAAAATCCTCAAGAATTATTAAACAAAAAAAAACGAACTAATATCTAAACGTCGCCATGAGAAGAAGTTTTTGCTGGACAACCACAAACCAAAAGATTAGATTTTTTAACTCATTTTCTTTTGTACAGATTTATTATTTTTTTACGAGAAAAAAAACATATATATATATATATATATATATATATATATATATATATATATATATATATATATATATATATATACCACTCCTCTTTATTGTTTATATTAACATCGGACCACTCCTCTTTATTGTTTATACTGACGACTTGTATAAATTTTCTAACATTCTAAGTTCAATTTTATTCGCGGATGACACTAACTTATTTTACTCAAATAGTAAATACGACCTCTTATTTAAAACAGTCATTAAGGAACTCGCAAATTTAACTGAATGGTTCAGGTCGAATAAATTATCCCTAAATATAAGTAAAACCAAGTATACTTTCTTTCATAGACTACACGAAAAAATTAAAACTTCCCAATTTATGTATTGATAACTTTAACATAAAAAGAGAACAATCGTGTTCCTTCTTAGGTGTAATTCTCGACGAAAACCTTTCATGGCGTGAACATATAAATACAATAGAGAACGAAATATCAAAAAATATTGGCGTATTATATAAAGCTAAGCAAGTATTAAATCAAGACTGTTTAAAAAATATATACTTTTCTTTTATTCACTGCTACCTTAATTATGGAAACATAGCTTGGTGCAGCACCAACACAACCAAGTTAAAAAAACTTCTCAGCTAACAAAAACATGCTATACGAATTCTTTCAAATGTAAACCGTTTAATACCATCAAAAGATCTATTTAGTAAACTAAAGTAACTCAATATTTTTCAACTAAACATTTTTATGTACAAAATTGATAAAAAAATGACGCCTTCCATATTTAATACCCTTTTTAATAAAATAAATCATTTTTACCCTACCAGATTTTCAAATCTGAACTACAAACAACCCAAAACATATTATATGGCCAAAAAATTCTCAGTTGCAAATATAGGGCCCAAATTATGGAATACAAAAATTAATAACGATATAAAAAATGTTATTTCCCTTAACCAATTTAAAATAAAACTCAAACAAAAACTTCTTAATATTGACGATGAAATAAGTTATTTCTTAATATCAAAAATAATATTATATGTTATATTTATTATTAACTGACTGGTTTGCTTTTTCTTTTTAACTATAAATAGTTTTAAGTTTAAATGTTTTAAAACTAAATTAACAAAAAAAAAAAAAAATTTACTCACTATTTACTCAATACGACATTTTCTTTTGGTCGTCTCGAGGTTTTTATATTTCGCTTTTCTCTCTTTTTTTTTTATTTTTTTATTTTTTATTTTAAAACTTGGTTTTTGAAATTGTATTTTGCTATTTGTTTCTTTCTTTTTGTTATTGTCTATTTAAATTACAATTTAAAGGTTTTTATTTAAAAAAGTATAAATATATGTATGTGTGTATATGTGTTTGTGTATATACATGTATGTGTCTGTATGTATATAGGTATTTATATATGTATGTATGTGTGTATATATGTGTGTGTATATGTGTAAAACATGTATGTATATGTATTAAAACATTATATAATAAAATGTAAAACACGGTTAACTACGGGGCTTAGTGAAAAGACTTCTGGGAGCTTCACAACTCTTTCGTATGTCATAAATTTGCGTAAGTTTTAGCGTAAGTTCAAAGTTACGCAAAGTCATATTCACAAAGCAAAAACTTACGATATTCTTAAGTTTTTGCTTAAGTTTTTACTTACACAAAAAGTCAAAAAAAAGGTATTCACAACATTTTCCTAAAAAAAGCTCAGCAAACTTTACGCAAGAAAAGTTACGTCTGCTATTTTCTGACTTACGTTTTTGCGTAACTTTAATTCATCTAATATTAAAAATGGCATTTTAATTATTGTAAAAGATTTCAGATTTTGTTTGTTACTGCCATTAAGTTATATACTTATATTGCCAATAAATTATATACTTATATTATACTGCTATACGTAAGTTATTTACTTAAAAAATACAGCTATAACCTTTTTTTTAACAATAACAACAAATTGTTGTTATTGTTGAACAATAGAAATATAAAATATTGACATTGTTGTTGTATAAAAAAGGTTATAGTTATATTATTTAAGAAACAACTTAACGTATGTTAATATATGGAAAATATGTCATTATATTTACCAAAAATATAGAAGTACTACATAAGCTTGTTTTAAGATGAAAAAAAAAAAAATATATACATTTTATATAATCGATGGTTTACTTTAAATTGAATACCATATAAGTGAGCTAACTCTCTTATTTGGTATTATATATGTGGAGAGCTCTCTAGAGATCTCTCTTATATGGTATTAGATGGTTCACTCTAGAGCGAACCATCCATTATATAGAATGATAATATGACTATATAGATATAGAATGAAAATACAGATATTATATAGATATGAGAGCTCTTATAACCTGGCTGAAAAGGGAGAACGACCATAGTAATACTATGGTCGCTCTCCCTGTTTTAGTTTTTATAAAATATAGTTTTATTATGTTCTATATGTATACAATTAAAGTATTTATATAATTTAGTATATATGTTTTAGTTTGTATATAATATAATTGTGTTATAATACAACCATAAGGTATTATAGTATGAATATATCCTATAGTTTTGTA